ACCTACTACCTTCATCGCGATTTGTTGTGGCGTTACCATTGTGACTCACTTTTTTCACATAAACCACACTCACTGTATCCACATGCGAAACTGAATTCGAGGTGTTTTTGTTTTTATTACTGCACGCACTAAGGACTGGATTCCATGCACTGGCCAGTTTAAAACCATCATCACGGTTAAACGTTGTGTGTGTACTTCGTGATGTCGATGGCTTCTCGCACCAACCGTCGTATATAGTGACGTTCTGTCGACAGTACCTGGGGGCTATGCAACTCGATACAGTGGTTAGTGTCCGTCTGTGTGAAATGTTGTGCTATAGCCGACTTCTGTGCAAATCGTTTTTTATTGCTCGGATGTGTTCCTTCATACGATCGACAATTGTTCGTTTAGTCCGACCGATATACGAGCTCCCACAACTGCAGTTCACTTTATAGACACCCAGTGTTTGTAAAGGAAGGTGGTCTTTTGGTGAACGTGAAATGTGGTGAAAAATAAATATAATTTTTATAATTTGGAATAAAATTACGACATTACCCATGTTAACTCGAGTAGTTATATAATTTCGAAATAAGGCAATAAAATTATATAGATGTTAATAGCCAAAACAATAAAATAACTGTAAAAGTTTGTTTTAGAACCATTAGGCGTAGTAGGGGAAAAAATATGTTTACCATTACGTTTTGCTACTTCATATTAGTAGGTATACCTAATTATTATATCAAAATGCCTTTTATTATCATTATTTTCTTCAAGTGGAAATGTACTTCTATAATGTGAAAGGATAGTTTCTTGAATTTAGGGAAAACAAACGAAAGGCACTTAACTTTCGTAGGACACACGGTGTAGGGTTTAGCACCTGCACTGGTCGAGCTGGTGAAATTGTCCCGTAGCGGTAATGCTTCTGCTACTTTTTTCTTAAATATGCTTATCGTGCGAAGATGTGTCCTTTTTCAAAAATGTTGGTAGACGCAAATAAAATCTCACAAACAAAAATGTCTGGTGTAATCCTTATAGCAACATTGCACTTTGGGGTTAAACTGAAGCAATTCTGAGACTTGTTTGTGCCTGAACACACCGAGGGCTTTGCGCAGTGTCAAGGTGGCACTGAACTTAACCTTATATGTACGGGTATCCAAGGAGGAAATCCTAATGACCCTTTAGCTGAAGCTAAGCTATAGTTTTTGGGAAAGCCTTTTCACATTTACTTGACCAGACAAGAAACATTTTTCCTACATAATGCATTAAGTCGATGTGCTATCTGCGAAATTTTCTATGTATCGCTGTAATAAGCAAATGCTATCACAAAACATACATATTTTTGACGAGTAGCGGGTCGGGAAAAATAGCATCGGAAGCGTTATTTTGAGGCCTCAATAGATAATGTCCTTTTGCAAAAAATTACTTTAATAATTTTAATTTCAAGTTGACTTCTCTAATTCTTTACAGTGCTTTACTCAATATTTTGTTATGACTTTCAAGACTGTCACCTACTTACTATACTACAAATTTTCTAGGATGATCCCTGAGACACTTCACAAAATTCTACATAATATAACCTTGTAACGACGTCCACTAATTTACGTATTTTTTAAATTATTTTTATAAGTCTCGCTTTTAAGTGAATAAATTTTGTTTAAGCACATACATATTAAAGTAAAAGTAACACAAAATTAGCGAGAAATGAGCAGAGAAGCAATATTTTTTCGAAAAATTAATTTATCTTTACGAATGGTTACTTCATTAGACTGCATTTGCTAGAGGTGAGGTATATCGATAAAAAGTTTTCGATGATTTAATGAATAAATATATAGTGCGTACACGAGTTTAATCTATTAGGTAATTAGTGATATTATGATATTAAAATTTTTAATCTACATTATGCTTTGACTTACAAATAAATGGACGTCGGGTCCGCGCTAAAAAGTGTACGAACTTACAGGGCGTTAAAATCGTATACAGAGCGTCAATCACGCTTTAGTCTTCGTTTGTTCGACTGACAGCGCGCTTGTCAATGATGCCGTATTGTGTAGTAAAACCTTGTAAAAATTACTCAACTAAAGTGAAAAAACAGGGTGGTATACCTTTGTTTCAAAAATCAATTAAACCCAAAATGTATCGACTTTACCTCATCCCTATGACGACGTGTCACAGGGATCATCCTAGAAAATTTGTAGTATACAGTAATTAAAATAAATGAGACAAGTCTAATTTAGAAAAATGTATATTATTTGCAAATGAATCTAAATATCAGTTATATTCGGCAAAAGGAATTTATCGTGCTGTATTACGTTGTTTATCTAACTCTAACTAATCTCCATTTTTTATCTCTAATCCTCTTTGGATTGGAATGGGATTGGTTAAATAGTGAACTCGTACCTGTAGAGTGGCTGAACTGTAGAGCTCCCGGAGCATATCCACGTAACTGGAAATCGATGTTACAACGATGGAGAGCGTAGAATATGGCCCAATGTTCGACACTGTCGAAGACCTTGTCGTAATCTACGAAGGCCATGACAAGGGGCTGGCTTCGTGACATTTCTCTACCAGCGAATTCACCGTGTCCATATGGCCGGCGGTTGAAAATCCGCTCTGGAAGCCAGCCTATTCAATAGGTTGCGCTTCATCAAACTCGCGGGAAAGCCGGATGGTCAGAATCTTTGCAAAATGTTTATAAATCTGAGAGAGCAAGCTAATCGGCTGGTAATTGCTTAGTTTTGCAATGTCGCCTTTTTTTATGGATGACGGTGACGATGAATTTTTCCATTGCTCTAGTGTAAGAGCTTCATGAAGAACTTTTTTTGAAAAGTATCACAAGCACTTTATTTATTTTCTTATTTCTGATTATCTCCTGCTTTGAGTCATTAGAAAGAAACACCCAGTAGATTAATCCGCCTTCATTTTAGATAGAGAATTTGTTACCTCATACGGGAGAATCGGAGGTAAGTGTTCCGTGGCAAAATTTTCAATATGACGAGCTCGGATATCGTCACCTGTTAAATCCGCTTCTAAAAATCTCCACTTTAATTGCTCACACATACTAAAAATCAAAGTCTACTGTGTCTACCTACTACCTACGAGTACCAACAAAAATAATAAACGAATATTCTAACTTACATTATAAATTATAACATACTTCTGCTGTACCACGCTGCTAGGTCACGCCGCGACTCATGCCGTCGCTAGGCATGGTCCTCGCTGACTCCGTGGTGGGGTTGATGACACGCCGAAACGCGAAACGTGGTGCTGCAAGCCGCATTACTGCTCGGTTGGCCGAGATAATACTTGACACCGTTCGTACGCTTCTCTCTCCTTTCTTGCAGCCTTCTATAATGTTAACCCTTCTTTCTTTTAATTTTAATCTTCTATAATAAAAATGTTCTGTAAAATAAGAATAAAAATATAAAACAATAATATCTTTTCTTTCTTTTTTTTTCTATACTTTGTCTTCAATACTTTTTCTTCAGTCCGTGTTCTTGACCTTCTAGAATTTTATTTTCTGTTTTTGTTCTTGAATGTTAAACATCATGAATGTTAAATTTTTAATAATTTCCATGTCTTGCAATTTTCATGTTCATGGTTTTCAAACTTCAATTTCTTCAGCAATCACTTTCCTTCACAAAAGGTAAAATTTAAATATGTAAACATAATTACTTACACAAACAATGAGCACCACATGTTGCAGTTAAACTATAAATAGTCTACCTATGCTACATTATGAAATATTTTTTTAATCGTTAGGAGAATAATATTGATTTTATTGAACATCATGTTGTTGGTACTTGGTGCAACGGGCTGGTGTCCGTATCAACATCATTATGTTTTTATTACCGTGACGACATTCATATATTTTTTTGTGAAAATACTCCACTAGTTTATTATTACTTATTGTTGTAAAGGTACCTAGCTGCGTGAAGAAACTTTCTTAAGAGTCACACAGCTTGCGCTGACGACAACAAAGCCGTTTACAACCCAATATAAAGATCTGCACAAGCATGCATAGAAGTTTATAAGATCTGCTAATCGATCTGTAGCTTAAATCGAAAGAGCGATGGCCCCGGTGTGGCAAAGTAGTCCGGTATAGACTTGTCTGAACGTTGTTATCGATGTTTATAGGGCATTGTGTTAGGGAGTGTGTAGAGGACTACAAGGGGTGCATAGCAGTGCAAACCATTTAAAGTTTAATTTATCCAGTTTAATTATACTTGACTTCGGAATAAAATTTCGAGTGCAATTGTTTACCTATATTTAAGTTGTATATAATATTATTACTAATACAATAATTGCTACTTAAGATAATTACATCCTGCAGAAGCGTCCTCCTCTTAGTTCCTGAAATCGAAGAAACCTATGCCGCAACTACGAATGAGATCTATTAGGAGGATATAGTTATAATCTGTTTGGATCTATATCTATAGGTACTTGAAAATTTCAATTTCATTTGTGAATTTAGCGTGTAAAAAATGGTGATCATTTAGATATACATTATAGTAAGATTATTTACTCGCTGTAAACTCGGCCATAAATTATCGGAGCGTGACAGCAGTATTGCGCTCCGTCTCCCACGTACGTGCAGGTACTGGTATTTTTTAATTTACTATTGTTTCAAGTCTTAAACATAGAACTAAAGAGTTTGTATATTTATTTAATTTACCGCCGCGTTATTAAAATAGTAATTTTAATGTGGCTGAATACTGGCAACAGTTGCCATTGTACTCTGAATTTATAACAGACAAAGAAATAAAATGAGTTTTTTAAAATACTCTTTTATTTTACTTTCAATGTAGTTTTTTCGCAAATGTATTAAAAAACGTCGTTTGATACACGTGCGGATTTGTCATTTTCACTTGTCTCAAGTCTTGACCCTCGCCTCTGGTTCGGGCCAAGAAGCTTCGAGCCTCGTGAATAATGACTAACTTTCCGCACTTGTATCAAAAATAACTATTATATAAAAACTATCCATTATGACATTCAAACAGTGAATGTGTTAAAATAAAAAAAGATTGCGACATTTTGACGATAGCGATATAATAGGTAAGAAATTACTCAAAAGGCACCTACCGCACCGAATTGTTTTCATCGATAAAGGACAAGCGCACGCGTCACGTGCGTACGTCGCTAAAGGTGAGACAGAAACCGCAATATCGATGTCCCGCTCCCATTATTTTTGACCGAGTTTGCAGCGAGTAAATAATCTTACTATAGGCTTTTTATGTCGAAAGCGCACTACTCAGGAAAATTGCAGGATGGATTTGGGATACTCTCATTGATAAACACTAACAAAGTACTTAAATAGTAGAATTATAATGCAAATAATACATAATTTACCCTTTATTGAGACCTATAAAACCACATGCAATGGATTGCCTTACTCATAACTATTTTAACAATTAATCTTAATAGTTACGGCCTAATAAAGGGTGAAGTTAAATAAACAAGAAGTAAATAAAAATGTTTCGATAAATTATAATATTATTATACATAACATAATTTTTTAATACACATATCACAGTAGGTACATGTTGAAGAAAAACGGTGAAAGAAGCGAACACGCGCGGGCTGGTCGGGGCCGGTATTTTCCTCTACTGCACATGTCGGTTACGGCTGAGCATACGTACAAGGCCACAAAAGTACGAGAATAAATATTCTCGACATTATAAGAACGTTTCTGTGACGGATGTAAATTCCAGAAAGGTGCTTTAGAACTTTTGAAATATTCTCTGCTAAGAATTTTTTTATAAAGGTTGCTACGAACTTTCGCAGCTTAATTAGGCCTCTTTTACCTGCTACACACTCTCGTCCACGTCTTTGCTGACGTTCATCTTTCATATACTGCGTAAAATTATCTATCTTTAAAGAAAATGCGAGAATGCTCCAGTCGAACGATTTGAGTAGATTTTTGAAAAGACAATTCAAATGATTTATTTAATATAATCAGCACACGTCTATCACGGCAACTCTTGTCATGAAAGTAAAATAAATAAGTGAGGAGTATTTTATATAGCAACCTCAAAATCTGTGATTTGAGTGGTAACTACGATTGCACAACTTTTGAGTTTAAACTTTTGTGTTAAGTCCATTTTCTTGTTTCAATTTCCGCTTAAGTTCAGACTAATTGCAATAAGAAAGATAAATATACAATAAATTAAATAATATTAATAACTTACGCCGAATAAGTACAATTCCTATGAAATTACTATATAATTACAAAATCATACGAAATTACTATATATAATTCCTATACAACGCTATTAAGAAATCACAATCACCAACAACGTTATTTTAAATTCAGTTATACCCAGTAAATTCAGACACACACCTATTATATTTTCACCATTGCTTTATGTACAGATCTTAATTAAGCTGATATAAATTTCAAATACGTCTTAAATATGACAATGCACAAAATAACCTGTGCAAATTCGTGGACGAGGCTGCGGAGCCGGAAGACAGACACTTTTCTTTGGTTGTAGTCGAACACCGATTTGTATTGCGGTCGCACTTGTATAGGTCAAAGATTTCTTCGCAGCGCTCTGCATATATTATTCGTGTGAACCCACAAAATGAGTTTCGAAATGTTGAGTAATAAAGATTTTTGACAAAATTGTTACTAAGTTTCAGTTGTCGCTTCAAATATTCTGGAAGTAATTAGCTAAATTCCTCTATCAGCAGTAAAAATTCCCTTCTACTAATCGCCCATCCCTCGGTATCAGATTCTACATGATTTTCGAGTCTGTCCACACATATATAATGTGTGTGTAATTCGCATTCATGGTTTAATCACACAATATACACTTTTACGAATTTCCCCTATTAGACAAACTCTATATCGTGAAAAGAATTCTTTGATGTACTACGACTATTTTTAATGATAATAGTGAAAACAATATTAAACTTCATGCTCGAAGGTATAAGATAATAGTCTGTCGTTTTTGAAGATGGAGTAAAATGACAATTCATTACGCAAAAGAGTTAGCCCGCTTACAAGCTAAGCTAATGATTGCAGTCGATAAATATTATATCGACTATCGACTGAAAGTTGGTTGCGCTTATGAAATAGGCGAAATTGTTTCATTTGATTCAGGATCGGCCCATTATACGTCCAACTGCTGGGCACAGACACATTTCAATTGTTGATTTTTGAAAATTAATTCATACACACACTAAATACAATAACGTAATTAGTATTCATTAGTAACATTCGCAATTCAGTAATTTTAGGCAAAATTTTACCTACGTTCACAACACGTATACGTCGACAACTACAACATGATTACTTCAAAATTTTAGGAAAACTGGCAACCTGCAAATGTAATTTTACGCCATCTTAAAAAAAGACAGACTATACATTCATAAGTCACTTTACGTTTTAACTCATTTATGCAGAACACCGCTCAACTCGTGCGGGCGTGCACTCACACAGATCTCGGTTTAACCTAAATCTATATATAAAAAGTTATATTACAATTAGCTGCTTCAATAATAAATATTTATTAGTATTGTCGCACTACTAAATGCATAATGTGGTCACTGAGATAAGTTCATTGGTATGTGATAGTGAAATGTGATTCCTCATTTGCGTTCACATAAAAAAATGAATTCACTGTTCGAACGAGATTTGGTAAGAGGAACGCGACTCCACCGAGCGTCGGCAAGTGTGAGGGCCGTGTGACGCGCGCTACCGTCATTGTGAGTTGTTAGCGCGGCCGAACTGAGTGTAGCTGCAAGCAACCGAAATAAAACAACTTAACAAAGAAAACTTTGATTTGCAAAGTGGCGCCGGCGCACTCACCCGCTGCTGGTCTGGTAATAATGCGAACCACCACCACCACCACCGTGGATTACCTGTGAACGAACAATACGTACATTAACAATGCTTACTTGTGCTCGCTCTATTTGGCTGGCTGTGCGATTACGACTTAAGAGTATGAACAATAACCCGGCGACGAGGCGACCACAAAATTGTTCAGTATTTTGTTTAATGTAAAAATAGAATAAAACTAAAAGCTGGCAAGGCTGTTTTGAATCCCGTCGTGATAGAACGAAATCAGCTACAATATTATGGCAATGAAATTATATTGTCAAAGAAACAGAAATTCCTGTAAGGGGCGAGTCGGGAGACGAATAAAACGGCTGAGTGTTGGTTATGAACTGACTTATATTTTATAATAAATGCGATTATGTAAGGTTGCTTATACTAGACATGCTTACTCCCTACAACTTACACAAAAAAAAATAATTAAAATTAACTTTTATTTTTTAGATACGTTTAGTGTCATATACAATCACAAAATACATATTTTCAATCGTGGAATAATTTTGTCCTGTTTTTATGTAATATCCAACTTGCCATTCCTAATTATTTCCACGTTGGGTGACACATATCTCACTACCTTATATGGACCGGAATACAATGCGTCCATGTTATAACGAACTTAGTTTTTTATTAATACTAAATCATTTACATTATAGTGAATTTTCCATAGCATCTTTTCCTTGTCATTTTACTTGAGAGGAGGTTTTGTTTAGCCTCTTTCTGAGATAATTGTATACGATATTTTAACTCTAGTGGGTAATTCTCAAAATTGTAGTGGCTCTACAGATGCCGATAAATTATTAGGAAGAGAACACAATTTCCCAAAAACCAATTCGTACCGCGTAAAGTTAGTTTCTGAATGTACAGTTGTATTAAATGAAAAACACCAAAAAGGTAGCCATTGACTCCATGATTCCGGATGATAGTCCGTTTGGATTCGGAGAAATGACTTTAAATATTTAAGTATGTGTTTCCTCTAGTGCCAATTGATTGGTGGTGGTAGGCTGTTCTTCGACTTGTTTTGTAATTAAGGGATAGGCTTCAGTATATTTTTAACCGACTTCAAAAAAGGAGGAGGTTCTCAATTCGACTGTGTTTTCTTTTGTTTGTATGGTACGCGATAACTCCGGCATTTGTGAATCGATTTTCATGATTCTTTTTTTGTTGGAAAGGGGATACTTCCATAGTGGTCCCATTTTGAAATTGTCATCATTTTGAAGGAAATCATCCACCTCTAAGGGTGGCTGTTCACGCATGAAGATTCATTTTTATAAACAGCGCCTAAATTTTCTTAAGGAGCAATTATTTTAATGGTTGATTTTACTATTTCTCCAATTCAAGGCATTTTCTCTCAATATTCTTTGAGTAGTGAGAACGGATTTTTATTATCTCCAGTGTCAAGTCCAGTATAGTGGCAAATTTAAGGATATTTCAATAAAACTTAGCAAATAGACGTAATTCCACGTACTTTTGAGGTCGTTTTTTTTTTAGTACTCTGTACTGAGATTGTGAATTCACATTGTAATGTTAAAATATATGAAAAATTTCTGTTGTCTATATCTAAAGGTCCTACAATATCTAAATATTTTTTTTCGAATGCCGTATCTGAAGTGGTAGTAATAGCCATTGGTTCTCTAACCGGTAATGAATGTTTTTGGCGTCGACATTTTTCGCAACGTGTTAGATTCTTTTACATCATTGTCAACAATGATGTAAAAGAATGGTCCTGGCCAAAAATAATATTTCTTTATATTGTTTGACATTCGTCTCGTACCAGCATGGCCACTACTAAATAGGAGATGAAAATAATTTATTTATATATTATTTATATATTATAATGACACGTCTGTCATCCTTAGCCCAGTTACACGAGAAGAAAGTTTTCGCGCGGCCGCCGCGCGGGGATCGCCCAGTTCGCCTTTATGTACATGAATGGCGAATCTGAATTCTAATTAGTATGCAACTACATTTATATTCCTCTCAATAAAATTACCGCGCGGTCTCCACGGACTCCGTTCGGTGACCGCGCGGCGGTCGCCGAAACGTAACGTACAACGTAAACTCAAATATCCGTAATTCCGAAGACCGATTAATAATAAAACCGTTATACTTTCGAGTAATTTTGATGCTTTTCACAAAATTAGCTTTTGTTTTGTAATCTTCCTAGAAAAATACATTTGACATTATGAATATTCGAGCTAACGTTAGTTACGAGCAAATGTATTTTCTGACTTCTGATAAGTAATCCCAAGCCGTAATACGACTACAACAATATTTTGTTAGTTATTGCTAACGTTTAATAAAAAATCATTTAAAAATAAGATGAAAATCAAAGCGACTCTATAGTTTCTTTGTTCTAAATATTTCAAATTTGAAATTGACGTAATGGGTCTCTTTTCATCTTTCGCGCATGCAATGTGTAGAAAAAGGAGAATTAGCTATTTGAGTATTTTGTGTGCTTGTGTAATTTATATTTACGATTCGTTTGTATATAAATTTAATAAATTAAATACTATAAAACTGTACAAAATAACACTTTTAAATGATAACTATGATAACACAATATATTTGTTTAGTGAAAATATGAATCAAAATTCTGTTTTTACACTTTACTGCTGTATATTTTTTATAAGTTATTATTATATGGTACTGCATGATTGACAACCGCGCTGTCAGTCGAAAAAACGAAGACTGTTGCGCTATTGACGCTCTATATGCGATTTTAACGCCCTATAGGTACGGACACTTGATAGCGCGAACCCGACGTATTCGACACGACGCTTCATTTGATTTATTTCATAAAACAGTGCCTTTTCTTCAGAAGGTCCTATCTCAATCAAATATAATCTCACTTCTTTTAAATCATTATACAGAGATTCTAATACACTTGCCATAGACATTAAAATTATAGCGATTAAAATGTTATCATACTGTTTATTGTTAGACGCCACTTACGGTTTTCACGTATTGTATTTTATTTTTACGCACTTACTTTAATCACTCACGACAGGTTGCACTCACATTTCTTGTGTATACGACACTGGAACTTTCCAAACTAATACTCAAAACTGTAAACGGTTTCTATATGTTTGGCTGTGTGTACTATAGTAACCTTATAAGGACGCGCGCGGTGTCAATTGCAAGGCGCATTCTTCTAATAATTAAATATCTGAAGTAGGAGAATATGTATTTATAGTATTTTTCATTTTAAACCACGTCGGCTTTGGAGGTTAGATTGGGTTTGTAATTTCGCTGCCCATGTATATCTAGTCGCATACGGAACACCGACCTTCTTAGGGTGTTTCGGTAAAATTCTGCATTTATTATCCAATTAATATGGCATTTTTTGTATACTTTATATATGACGTAAATTATACCGCATATTATCACGAGCGTTATAAACGACAGCAGAGCTTTCGTAAATTGTAATATGGTATTGATATTGCTCACTCGATGCCTGATTGTTACCTCCTGCAGCATTCTGCACTATGATGGTTTCTTCAGATTTTGACTGTTGTTTTCCCATTTTTACTGGTACACAATAATACACGTCTATCACGATGTCGAAACTCGATGGCACTTGGTACATTTTTAAATTAACTAGTTCGATTAGATGGCACAAAATATTCCAGTCTTTTTATGGAGAACGGTATCAAATTCAACAACGCGCGCGGCGAGTCGGCCATAGATGGGTCGCCGTGTACGGGGCGAGTCGGGAGACGAATAAAACGCCTGAGTGTCGGTTATGAACTGACTTATATTTTATAATAAATGCGATTACCTATATAAGGATGCTTATACTAGACATGCTGAATCACTACATTCCCATGGAAATTTAATTCAGTCAACTCACTTATCGTCGCGGAATCTCATTAAACCGATTAGAAAAAGCATTATTTCTGTGTAATAAGAGCTAACAAGAGGGTTAACGAGGGATGTAAGGGGGCACACACCATCACAGCTCTTATTGTCAACCTCACCTGCACGCGGTACATCCTGCAGTAACCGACGAGGCTCTGGCGACCGGTAGTAGGCGGTATAGCCCTTCCCCGCATTGGCGCTGTCAAACTGCTGGCTGCCGACGGGCAGCAGCGTCGGTAGTACAAAGGCAGCGCCCTGCGATCTCCAACCCGCATGCCCAGCGTGGAGATTATGGGCAATAACCCCCTTCATGGACGGCACAACCAATCGAAGGCCCCCAGTTCCCGGTCGCCCCGCTATTCCTGGTCACGGTAGCGGCCATGGTACCGGCGGGGTAGGGGGTGCTAAGAATCCCCGGGCTACCGCAGGCTACCAAAAACAACTGACCCTGGCTACGTTTAACGGACGAACTCTTAGGCTTGACGAACACCTTGCATAGTTGGAAGTGGAACTGGAGAACATTAGATGGCATGTTCTGGGGCTGTGTGAAGTCCGAAGAGAGGGAGAGGACACCATAACCCTAGACTCGGGCCATCTACTGTACTTCCGCGAGGGTGATCAAACATCCCAAGGTGGTATAGGATTCCTCGTCAACAGAGTCCTCTCTAACAACGTTGAAGAGATCTCCAGTGTGTCGAACAGGGTAGCGTACCTGATCCTTCGGCTATCAAAAAGGTATAGCCTGAAGATCATTCAGGCCTACGCACCGACCTCGACACATTCGGATGACGATGTAGAAGATATGTACGAGGACATATCGAAAGCCTTACACAACACCACCAAGGCTCACTTCAACGTTGTTATGGGGGACTTTAACGCTAAAGTGGGATTCCCAAATCTTGACGAGTCTCGAGTCGGCCCGCATGGTTATGGAGTAAGGAATCACGGGGGGCAAACGCTAGTCAACTTCCTCGAGCACGAGGGGCTCTTCTTGATGAATTCGTTTTTCAAGAAGAAGCCTCAAAGGAAGTGGACTTGGCGAAGCCCCGACGCTGTGACTAAAAATGAGATCGATTTCATCCTGACGGACAAGAGACATATATTCAGAGATGTCTCAGTGATCAACAGGTTTAGCACCGGATCTGATCACCGACTTGTACGAGGCTCT